GGGCTTATTTAGCCTTTCGAAAGGGGGCGTGAAAAAATTGAGCTCCAATTACGCTAATTAATGGTGCGATTATACATTTGGTAGTTAATTATTAAAATAGGCTTTTTTTTTATTAATTTTACTTGATAAAAATAGATGAAGGATTTATATTACAATAAATAAAGAAAATTTAAGTATAAATTGACAAAATTATAAATTAATAATTTATTTTATTATAAGACTATATTCATAAATGTTTTAATTTTGTTTTTTATAATAATTATTACATAATTTCGGCCCCATTTTCTTCAAAAATTTGGAACAAACATCCAAATTTTGTCAAAATCAAATTCCCTCATTAATTGTTTTTGACAAGTCCCTAGACCCTTTCTTTAGCCCAAACGAGAGAGAGAGAGAGAGAGAGAGAGAGAGAGAGAGAGAGAGAGAGAGTGTCTGTGTGTGTGTGTGTGCGAGTAATTTCTGGACTTGGGGTGTGTCGCGAGCTAGTGGGCCAAATTTACACCTCTATATGTGAGTAATGGTTACGAGATATATGATTAGTGGTTATGATATATGTGATGTTGTTTATGAGGCAAATGGTGTTGGTTATTATAACGTCCCAAAATTTACCCAACATAATCGTGGTACATTAACCGACATTCATTTAAGAACAATAGCAATTCCCCAATCATCATAACATTGATCATAGAAGTTGGTACAAAATAGTTTCACATGCGAATTATACATTCAATGATATTACATATATGAATGTATAGCATTTAGAACGTCAAATTCAAAAGTAAATAAAATGCCCTTAAGGGCTTACAAATTCCAAGGCTTAAGCATGGTTACACAAAAATAGTCTCTCGGACTCAAACAGTTATAGCCCTAGGCTTACAAAATATAATCACAACAAAACAGAGCCTTGTGCTCTATATATATATACCCACGCCCTAGATTGGCGAGTTCACCACGTCATTTCCTGCACCAAAATCCCATAGGGGTGAGCATAAAGCCCAGTAGAGAATTCTTAACAAAGTATATACATTTATGTAAGATTCCCAATATGAAATGCACATGCCATGCTATGCAAATTAAAAGAGGATTTCATTCACATCTTTTAAAAAGCCACCATGCTCAATGATAGTTTGAAATCTCAACAATTCAGAAATTTACAATTTAATTCAGAGGGGCAGTAAATACGGCTCAAGTAATCCCTAGGTTGGTATCTGCAAGTAAGCATAACTAGCACTACCAAAAACCCCACTTTATCGGTTGCTAACTGGAAGGGAAGTAGTACCTCATTCGCGCGTGTTTTCGGTCTTTCACTACGGACACTTAGGCCAACTTAATCAGTCTTATCTACATCTCCTATCCAGACTTACCAACGTATTTATCCCAAAACATTTTAATAATTCCCATTTCAAAATATCCTTTTCTCAATGTAAATTTTTCCAAACTCAATTCAAAATGTATAATAATCAATTGAATGAGTATGTAATGCAATAATTATCAATGCCTCATAACATTTCTTCACTTTTAAGTATCTCAACAATAATACCATAATTAAACAAAATTTCCATCTCTCCCCTCAATGCTATTACACACAATAGCCACACATGCATTTAATTCCATCAATAGATATCAACGTTTCCATATTCCGAACTTCTCCCAACAATTTAGTCATTTCAAAAAAAAAAAAAAACATAACAATATCTTAACACAACAATTTCCAACATCACCACTTCTCATATTTCATGAAATCCATCATTTGTGTATCTATTTATATACACATATACATATATAGAAATTTCCAATCATTAAGCATTTTGGCACAAAAGGAGTAATATAATGACAATGTTGTCTATGAGTTCTCAACAACCTTTCAAACCCCAAAACCCTAGTTTTTCCTCACCACAACCAAGCACATTCAAATCTCTTGAAAGGGGTTTTCTTCAAAAAGTTTCTTTTTCTCAATCAATGTAGTTCAAAATTTTCAAGAGATCATTTTCAAAAGAAACTAGGTGGAAAACCATCCCTAAACACCCACATTCTTAATCCAAAATCAAGTTTCAACATTTACAATGAAAAATTTTGAAAATCAAAAAATCTAGCAAAAATATATATATTACTCCAAGAATAATCCCTACCTCAAGTTTGGAAAAGAAATTGGAATGAAACCCTTAAAATCTACGGTGTTGAAACACGATCTTCACCGCACACAACAAAGCCTTCGGTTAGCTCTCCAACTTTGATGAAGAAGCTTGGGTTAAAAATGCAACAGATCTAAAGAGATCAAGAGTTCTAAAAGGTTTGGTGTAGGAAATGTGGAGAGAAGGAAGAGGAAATGATTTTTAGAGAGAGAGAGAGAGAGAGATGTGTAAAAAGTGAAATATACACAACCCAAAAAGAAAGAAAAATAGAGTTTTTCGGACTCAGGGTTTCCCGTACGTGCGGCACTCACTCCCACACGTGCGGAGCGTGCTTCCCGTACGTGCGGCCTTCATCCTCGCACGTGTGGCCCCTTCCCTCGCATTTTCACTCCCGCACCTGCATATATTGCAGTATGCTGCCCAGGAATCCCCTAATTTCCGCACGTGCGGCCTCATATCCCGCACGTGCGGCCCCCTTCCCGCACCTACGGCCCAAGGCCCTGCACGTGCGGCTCAGCCATCAGCCCAAAAAATCTCCAGCTTAACCTAAAAACACACCAAACCCAACCTCGCACCTTCTGTAATAGGTGAAACTCAGAGTAGCAATAAATAAAAATGAAAATTTTTGAGAAGGAGTTTTCAAAACAACAATCCAACCGGGTTCATACTTAGATATGTGATATGGAGTTGTTTTTTGGATTAATTACATGAAAGACTGTTGGAACAATCTTCTGTGTAAATAAAATAACTTGAAATAAATTCAAACAAAATAAATAAATAACATACCGGATTTATTTATCGAACCGAATAATAATTAAGACCAAGTCGAGTGTGTGACACTCTATCCTTAAGACAGATTCGCCCCGTTACGGTACTTACGGTTGGGCGGCGTCTATCTCCCAAGATACAATGATCTTCACAAATTGTAGTAGTACTCCAAACAATTTGTTCGGCAAACCAAACCTCTGTTCTAACTCTCTGAATTTATTCTTAAATCTAAAATGAAGAATAATACACTAAAAGTAATTTGGACAGCAAAAAGGCAAAATATGAGACTGTTTTTTTTTTTTCTTTTTCATACCCAAGACTGTTGGTAAACCCATGTATTTATAGACAACTACATAGACCCGAAAAGGTGTAAAATGGTAATGAACAAGTGCCCAACTGTTTTGAACAGATGCACTTTCTTAATTCAAACCAATTTGACCGATAGTACCTGAACACTATATTTCAAATTTAATTGAAAAAAGTGTCGTTGGGCCGTTGGTGGAACAGTTTCCAATTGTTAGAACTTTTATTAATTAAACCATTGAAATATATATATATATATATATTATTAAACTATTTGAATATATATATATATTAAACTTATTTGAGTAGTTTAATAAATAAAAGAGCATGTACAAACTTTAGGAAACTACTTAAGAACCCAAAATTTGAATTTAGAATTAAATTAAATTCCCACAATAATTTTTTATTGAAAAAAAAATTCAAATGAATTTTATCAAAAAAATTAATGTTAGATCCGAAAACGACGTTAACTTTCCATTCACTCATAAATGGTTTTGACGTTCCGTCTTCACCGTGTGACTTGCCACGTGGCAAGGAACACTTCACCTCTTTGGACCCACCCCAAAAAACGTTTGGGGCCCACTCAATTTGGGCTAAAAAATATGCCTATATTAAACCATTTTTCCAAAAATCCCCCACATGAATGGAATTTGACGGAGAGAAAATGCAACAACATGATCTAAAACAGAGAGTACAGAAATCGGAAATATTCTGCAAAGGATAGGTAGCTTTTGGCTTTGAATCTTCCCTTGTGAGACACTATCGGATTTACTAGCTAACCAGTGAACATGATGTCTTGAACTGTTCAGCCGTTTGTGTAAACCTAGACAATAGAACTCACACAGTATATCTCCAGACACAGTTTAGTTCTCACTATTGTGTTCATTTTGGCCCTGAACAACCTGGTTTTTCATGAGTGCTCTAAAGACTTGTAGTCCTTCACAAATCTTATAAAACCAGCCCAGTTCACACTCACATAGGTGATTCTTATGAAAAGTATCCTACCATACTCCACTAGGTTTACCTAGATATAAGAATCTTTTAAAGTTTTACTTAACCTAAAACGCTGCAGACATCACTATTTCATCATAGAAATGGGTAGGAGTTAGACTCCCCAGTGATTCTTCTGAGTCATTCATAACTCGATTGTCCCTTTGAACCTAGATCTTGAGATCTCCAGTCAACTAGGTTGGGTTGCCGCTGTGGTAACTCTTATTTAATAGGCTTAAGTCCCATTCCCCTCGATGAATTCTCAACTAACTCTCTTGCTAACCCTTTGGTTAGTGGATCCGCTATGTTGTCTTTAGACTTGACATATTCTATGGAAATAATTCCATTAGAGAGTAGTTTGTCTCACGGTGTTATGTCGACGACGAATGTGTCGTGACTTGCCGTTATACATATGACTCTATGCTCTACCTATAGCTGATTGACTATCGCAATGTATGCATATAGCAGGCACCGATTTTGGCCAAATTGAAATATCTTCAAGGAAGTGGCGAAGCCATTCTGCCTCTTCCCCAGCTTTGTCTAAAGCTATGAATTCAGATTCCATAGTAGACCTAGCAATACAAGTCTGTTTGGAAGATTTCCAAGATACAGCCGCCCCACCAAGAGTAAAGACATACCCACTAGTGGACTTCGAGTCTCTTGTATCCGATATCCAATTTGCATCACAGTATCCTTCAAGTACTGCTGGATATCTAGTATAGTGAAGCCCAATGTTACGAGTAAATCGGAGATATCTTAGAACCCTTATCATTGCTTTCCAGTGTTCTACGCGGTGCCGTTTTGCCAAAAAAAATTCAATTGATGATATTGATGTATGTGAGGTTATTGTATATACATAGATTCAATTTAGTTATATTAATACATGGTTACGTTAAATGAACTAAATCTAATGATTCACTATTTTAGAAAAATGATTCACGATTTGGTAGAAGGTCAGCTAGGGAATGAACAATTAGCGTTACCACAATGTCCTTGGTCCTTTACATGGGTGACTGCACCTTTCTTCCTCCAATCGACAGATGGGGGGACCGTATCTACCTTCTCGTACATGAAAGTCCCATTCCCTTTAGGGCTCCCCCAGAGCATCCTGTGGTGCTTAACATTCGAACCGGCATAAGCGCTCTTGAATTCGTGGTTCGTCATGTCTGCAAACTTGTTCGACTTCAACTTGTAAGGTTTATCATTCTTGTTGGCGTTGTGAACATGGTGAGCATTGTACTTGAACACGTTGAATCGGTTGTGCTTCTCATCGAGGTTCCTAGACACCGTGTGATGGCTGTTGGAACAATCTTCTGTGTAAAATAAAATAACTAGAAATAAATTCAAACAAAATAAATAAATAACATACCAGATTTATTTATTGAACCGAATTAAAATTAAGACCAAGTCGAGTGTGTGAC